GTATCAGATTTTTCATATATTTATACTTCTCATTCAACCACATTTAAATCCACTCTATATATGAGTCACAATTTACATATTTATTTTTTACAATAAGCATCTGGGATGAAAACAAGCAAAAATGAAAAAAAAAGTAACAACTTTCTACTTCTTGCCTTTTTAAAAAAATGTAAGGAGTAGAAATTACAGATAATTGTGTGAAAATGTAAGAAGTAGAAGTAAAAAGTAGGCTGAAAAAGAATTACTCAACTAAAGTACAGATACCCCCAAAATTTAAGTTATGTACTGTAAAGAAGTATTTGTACTTAGTTACTTTACAGCTCTGCAAAATAACTGCTGTAAAAATTCAAACCTATAATGTAAAAAAATAACATTCCAGGCATTTCAGTTTTATAAATATGTAAAAACTAATAGAGTCAAAATAAATTACTTGATAACTTGACCTAGCCAGTTTGGCTGACTGGCTCCCTAAATACAACATTTATTTATTTATTTATTTATTCAGAATTCTGGTTTCCGGTTTGATCCTCTCTCACTATGGCTGACTTGACTCAGCTGTAACAAAGTGACCTGTTCTGTTTTGTTGGCAGAAGGCTGGAAGATGAGRAGCAGAGAGCTACAAACTCTGGACACTGGAGTCCTGCTGGGAAAAGTGGGATTTAACGAGCTCACAGCTGGATATTAGTCCTTTTAAACTGGGAGTGAATTTATTCTGTCAGAAAAATTAGACACGAGTGAGAGGCTTTTCCCAGCTGATGACACCCCAATTAAAGCTTAAAAAACATAAAATTCTGACATTTTTTAAAATCGTTTTTGAAACATATGGACATTAAGCTTCAGCACTCAGTTGAGTCAGGCAGCAGCACCCACCCACAGTTGTTGCACACTGCTCCTGCTTGCAGCTCTGGTCTCTTTCTGCTGATTCAGGCACACAGGAAGTGGTGACAAACAGCTACTTGAAAAAGAAAAGAGGCACAAATGTCAGACAGTACCAGTTCACTTTATTATTTTTTTTTAGAAGAAGCTGTTAATACAAAACAGAAGCAAACTGTTCACAAATAACAACTTGTGAACTTGTTTCTCTCACACTTTTGGGTGCTTTTACCAGCAGGCTTTAATATTAGTAGTTTTTGTTTTACAGRACTGCTGTTATATAATTTCTCTTACCATTCTCACTATATGTCTAACTATATTTACATTAGCAACATAAAAGCATTGAAAATTGATGTAAACTCAATTAAAGTTCTTTTGAAAAAAATCTATAAAATTATTTCTTAGTTGTTAAAATTTCCCCACAAAAGGTAAATATAACCTTAACCTAAATAATATTATTATAT